GGGCTGGCAGCACCGGTGCCCCTTGAGCCACTGGCATGTTGCCACACAGCTGGATCCTGCTCTCCTGCCCTCTCCCTGCCATGGATCCCATCCCTTAATGAGCTCATTAGGCACCCAGCCAGGGCTAACGATGGCTTTATAGGGTGGCCAATAATTGAATGGGGTCCGTTGGATCTTGGCTGGGAGGATTTATGAGGATTTGATTCCTCTGGGCATCAGAGTGGGGTCTGACGGCAACACCATCGATTGCCTTTGAACCCGGGGCGGAGGAGCCAGGGTTTTCACCGGCTCTCACGCTAACGAGGCCAGCGGGCAGATCTAATTAGCCAGAGCCACGTTAGAAGGGACCTCCAGGGATAACGGAGCCGCCAGCAACCACATCACACGCTCCGGCACAACCCCGCGGTGGCGGCCGGTGGCTCCATGCCAGACGTGCGGGGATGAGCCCAGAGCACCGTGCCAGCTGATCCTAAAGCAAGAGCATCCCACGGGCCCAACACTGCATCCTGCATCCCCACTGCATCCATCCCTCCCCACTGTATCCATCCACCTATCCCCTGCCAAGCTCTATCCCCCAGCTGGGTCAGAGCTCCATCGACTTCCTTGGCAAGGAAACGCCTTGGCTGTGGGATTCGGGATGTGTCTGGATCCTGCTGTTATTACCAGAGTTTGCTCTCCAAACAACATCCAGGAAGCAGGAGTCTCCCCTCCTGGGCCACCTTCCAGGGCTCCCTCTCTTTCCAGTGGAGATCCCTGTCCTGCTCCTAGAATCTAGGGGGGGATGCATGGGATGGCAGAGGGACTGGGCCACCCTGGCATGGTGGGATGCTGTGGAGAGGCAGGATAGGACCATGGGGCTGAGGGAAGGGTGCAAGGGGTGCCTGGTGCCAACCAGGGTGGGCTCTACTGCCACTGGGAAACCACCCACAGGACTCAGGATTCCCAGCCTGGAGTCCCAGCGGCTGGGCATCCCATGTGGGGCTGCACTGCCCTGGCTGGGTGCTGGGTGGGAAGAGCTGGGAAGGGTGATCCATGGTGCCAGCAGCCACCAACGGGGCTGTTTCCTCCATGGAGCCACTTCCTCCAGCTCTTCCCACCGTGGAGCCTGGTGACCCCCAGGAAAAGTGGGGTGTCATGGGAGGAATCAGCAGAAATGAGATTTGGAAATATCAGGTGGTAAATCAGCTCCCACCCAAACCGTCCAATCCCTCAGGATGAACCTAAGTGGATTCAAGGTTGGAGATCCGAACCAGAGAGGGAGGGGGATTTGTCAGTCTAATTCTTCCCCCCTCCCAGCTCCCTCCATACGCGCTGCGTAGGCAGGGAGAAGATCAGCTCATGCCTCTCCTGCCGGCACGCCTGCCGACGGGAATGCCGCTCGCTGCGCTTCCCCAGCACCCAAAAACCTCTGGGGACCAAACCAGCTGCATCCCAGGGATTGCACCCAGGCGTGGAGGGAACACAATGGGTGCTCCAGCCCCCTGATGTGCAGGGCTGCTCCTCTGCTCTTGAGGTGCAACATGCCCGTTCTCAAGAACTTGGGATGCTGAGCCAGGAGGATGTGGATGCTGTTGGCTACAACTGGGGCACCAACACCGGGGCAGCCCGTCCCGAAGTGACAGCCTCTCCTCCGCATGTTGGAGGG